ACTCTACCTGCCTTTGATGAGGCCCTCRCAGACCTTTAAATGGGCGCAGTGAGACCAGGCTCTCTGCGAGGAGGAGACGCGTTTGCAGCCGCTGTTATCACACAGGGCTRGTCCATCGTGCAGAACAAGCCTGTGAGTTTGGTGCCAGGTGTTGGTTTCAAGCTGGTTTTTCTTCTTTTTCCACCCAAAATGCAGCCCCTTGCATGGTCTGCGGAGGCCACCTGCACCAGGTCTCCTGCAGAGACCCGCCAGTAGTTTTTTTTTTTTTAGCAAAAGAACAATTTCTAATTCTCTCTTGGAGACCGAGTGCTTGGAAACAGAAAGTTTATCTCTTTTGCTTCTAGCATCTCTTTCTAAGTTTTAACACCCTTTTTGTAAGTGTTTCGAATGCTCACCTTTGATGAGGATACTTCAATCCATCAATGACTCCCAGGGAAGCACCTGCAGCCAAAGCCCCTTCTGCATTAGGATGTGTTGCTGATTCCTGGGATCCAGGGCCTCTGAGCCCCCAGGTCCTGGTAAAGAGGCAGGAATTTGCAGTCGGTGCCAGCTGCCAGCTCTGCCCTTTGGAGTCTAGTTTGGGAGCGGGGCGATGGGTTGGACCATCAGGAGGGCAATGGGAGGCTGATCCAGCTCTCTGATAATGCAGAAAAGTCTCGCTGTCTTTTCAGATCTTACAAACCACAGCCAAAAGGTAAAAATAAAAAGGAAAAGGAGAGGGGGAGGGAAAAAGTCATCATTACATTGACACCTGCAGATAACTTTTACAATGAAGCATTGGCTGGAATAACCACCCTCCTAAACAAAGCTGATTTATTAGGAAAACTCATCCGTTTACAGACTATAAGTTAAGGGTTCAGGGCTCTGTGCACAGCAGTGTTTCAGTCATCAAGGAATATGGTAATAATGTTTTATTGAATTGTCGGAGCCTTCCTCTCGACAGGGCCCTGGCCATTTCRGCTGTGAAATACGCAGCGCTTTCCCTTCCAGAAGTCCTACACATTGAGCCATAAAGACAAACATGAGTGATCTTGTATCTTCTGGGGGTTTATGGTGTTATAAAATATGTTTTATGTTCCAATCAGCGGCGACAATTTATGAACAGAGAGGCTTGAAAAAGATATAACATCGGACTATGTATTTTAATATAGTTTGAGAGAACTGTAATGCCTTGAATGACATTTGCTCTGAGCACACATGGAAAATGAATAGTAATGCAGCAGAGATTGATAGCTTATTTCATCAGGAAGGGGCTTCTGCAAGAAGTGTTTTATGGGTGTTATAGACGATAACTAGTTGGTCTAAAGCAGAGGATTTATTTGGCCGTACGGCTACTTTCTCTTAGAATGCTAAAATTGTCCAAGTGTCTTATTTGTGAATTTTTTAAGCATTAATTCCAGGATTTTTTTCCCCCCTGTAAATACTAAAATTAGAGCCAGAGGTGTACACCAGCTATTTTTATTAATGCCTCATTTTATTTACACAATACCTCAGCTACAAGAATGCATTATGAAGCTGAACACATCTGTTCTCTATGCAACTCCCTGGGGGAACTAAAAGCTTCTCGGAAGTGGAAACGACCCCTCAGCATCAGCCTGTAGCTAGAGCRCGCTCCTTGTTGAGCACTGGGCACATTTAAGCATCCCGTTTTCCAGATCACCCGGCATATTTATTGCCGTGGCTGGATTTTCTGTGCGTTCAGCATGTTTTGGTAAAGCAGCCTCAATGCTGCCGTTATCGCTGCCTGCAGAGCACCCACAACAAGGGCACCCAAAACCTCACCCAGCGGGTCCTGTTCCTCCTGGAGGCAACGCCAGGGGTGAATGCTTCATTCCTCGACATCCACCTCATTGCATCCCCTGATTTATTTGTACGCTAAGAGTTTTATTAATGGTGTTGACTCTCCTGTGCTTAGTACATGTCCCTCCGCAGTAATTAAGCATTAACTAATATCTGCTCATTGAAAAGCATAGGAGCGCTTTATTATTGGGCAGGAAAAGGCTGCATTGATTTAGAAGACACAGTTCACATGGTAATTTCTGTGCTACCTTAAAAATCACTGCAAAGTGATCTCTGGAAGGTAATAAACAAGATGCAAAATCACCATGATAACATAAATCACCATGAACTCACTTGATATTAATAACGAGCGTGCCATGGATCCATCCAAGGGAATTGCTTTGTAATGCAGTATCAATGTACCATTATTTTAAAGTGTTACTAAAGTAAAGAGGAAAATGGGATTCTTTATAGCATATGTGGGATTTTATTAAGCTCTTGTGTGCAGAGAGGAAGAAATGGGAGTGCATGGGCACAGCTAGCAGTGACGACATCTGCTAAGCACAATCGCTTTGTCCTTCCAAACAAGTGTCACCCATATCCCTCTGTGGAAAAAACATGTCCTTAAAGACAGAGCAGGAGAAATTAATTTGCAAAAAAAAAACGACCAACCTTCTTGTTGCAGAAGGCCACTGGATATCTTGAAGCTCAAAACCAGCATCTCCCTCTGCTCCACGTGGTGCAGTCCCAGCTCCCATGGTGTCCCAGGGTCAGGAGAGGATGGGGACCAGACCTTCCGGAATAGGGAATTATGTGTTAGCTCAATGTACAGAYGGACATAAGAGATTTGCCAGCTGCTTTACTCCTAAATATTTGCTTTACCCTCCTCAGCACATTTCATTCCGTAGCTTATTTTTCCCTACCAGTTTTGAACCAGGTCTAGGAGCGTTCTGGAAAGAAAACATGCTTTGCTGAAGTGARATGTTGCACTCTGTTACAATCCATGCGAAACTTAAAGATACGCTAAGAATAAGGAAAGAGAATGGACTTGCAGCCTGTTGACTGAAAAATTGTTCCAAACAAATAAACAAACAAAACCCCTGCAAAACCCCAGTTTCCTTTCTCTGACCTATGAAGGTGCTTGGAATGGATAATCATATGCTTTCTGACCTTAAAATGTAGAAAATGGAGAGTCAATAAAACCAAACAAGATCACCCATCAGCTGAAGATCCTRGATAAATTCATGTTCATCAAAGAGTTGACCCAAACCCATCACTCGACTGCCTTCATGGAGCAATCCCAATCTTCCCCAGAAAGGGATATGGTACCAGAGGGCACCAGTGTGAAGAAGCTTTGCTTTTTCACCAGCTGCAAATCTGCTCTAAGTGATTTTTTTTTAAGAGGTCCTAATCCCCAGGGTTGAAGCTTTACAATGACCAGAGCAGGGCCAGAAGAGCCCTGTACTTTGGACTGCAGCTGCCAAAGCACCATCCCCATCAGACTCAGAGTTTTAAATAAATCCTTATGTGGAGATCTTGAAGAGCTGGACTAATGCCCCAAAGCATTAATGGGTGTTAAGTGGCATGCCAAGATAAGAGTACATCCCTTTGTGAGRAATGACTGATAGAGCTCAGGGGTCAAGTGAAATTGTGCTTATCTGCTGGCAATTCGGCCGTTTTCTTCCTGTCTTTGCTGTCTAAAATATTCTTGTGAGGCAGAGGGAGAAAAAGGAAAGTGTAAACCAGGCCTTATTATAGCCAGGAGTCAAGCAGAAGATCCCCCAGAGGCTCTCTAGCTTAGATGTGGTGCTTAGATGCAAGTAGAGGGGCCAGGGGATGCCTTTCTTGCACCAGGGCACCGATGGGACCCTCAGAGCTCTACAAATTACAAGAAGTCAAGAAGACAAGAGACAAGAAGAACTCCGTTTGTAAAAACAACGATGCAGGAGAAATTCCTTTCAATAAATGACGACCAGGCCTGAAAACTACTTTAAAACATCTGCCTGTTCCTTCTCACCCAAATCTTCTCATCTCTTTAATGCACAGAAGTTGGGACCTGAAGCAGCAAACTTCTTCCCAGTGTYCCACTGGGCTGGAGGTCCCGAGGACAATGTGTCAAGAGCCCTCTGTGTAAAACACAGTTCTTTGGGGAGACAACGATGCCACAGGAGCTCCTCTTGTCTCCACCTGGTTGACCTCTTTAACARTTTCTGCAGCTGTAGCAGATGGATGTGATTTGGAGTTGACTAAGTGGTAGAAAGCCCTCTGCTCTGGCACAGACTCTCTGTTCTTGGCACAGCAGTGTCCACTTTGCTACCTGGGACATTCGCCCAGGATTTGATTAAAAGGTTTTGTAACCAGCAAGAAACAAGGTTCTGATGTACTGGGATGGGTCCCAGYACATCCATTTCATGGGGCTACCTGCAGAGTGAGCAGGGCTGTACTGGCCCCAAAGCATGGACCAGGGTCAACAGCCCAAAAAGTGGCCAAGAGGGTCTCACAGAGGAAAATGAAAACTTTGGAGATGCAGCCTGGGAGCATCCGTCACACTGGCTGCTTCTGGCAGCAGAGCTCCCTCAGATCCAGCGTGTCCCTTGGGTTTGTCCTGAAGCACATTAAATCACACCACTGAGGTCTGATCCTGGCCACTTCCCAACATCAGGGAAACATTAGAGAATAAATGCTTGCTCTTGGGAAAAGAGGAATGCACCACGTTGAAGCAACTCATCCACAACCCTGAAGGAGTCCAATAACCCTCCGTGCTTCTCAGCTTTGGCGATGAGATGAAGCTGCTCCAGAGCGTTGCAAAGTTGGGCTGGGAGGCTCTTACAGCACTATCAAAGCCAAGGATGTACATAGTGCTCCGTGCTGATTAACGGCTCCAGTCAACATCAGCTAACTTATTCCTATTGACAGATCTATGAAATACTTGCAGAATCAACAGCTATAAAAAGGATGGTAACGCACTGGCACCATAAAGCCGTAACGCTCGTGTCTATTGCAATCAAGGCTTTTAAAACCTAATTACTTCTGGGTGACATCAGTCATATATTTTCATGTGAAATTACAGTGGCATGCGATTGCCCGGCAGAATAAAAGAAAACAAATGATGTCCTATAATAACAGAGAAGTGAACTATCATTTTTAATCTGGCACGAAAGCTCTGACCGATGAAGCTTAATACAACTTGTTAAAACACCTAACAAGCGAGCAAGTGATTAAGTATTGTCCTTTTGCCTCTGGGAAATGGGATCTGCTCTCAGCAAGCATGAAGTGACTGAGATAGCCCTTTGGAGCTGATTGAGCTGCACATAAAGTAACTTCTAATGATCTCAGTCCACTTTGAGCCATAAAGATTTAGAAGGGACAATATTTTAGAAATGATCAAGTTCCACTCTTTTTATTAGTGAGGATAAAACACCTTTGTGGAGGAAATTAAACAGAATAAATTGTTTGAGTCTTCTGCAGCTTCCACCATTTAGCAGTGGTAGAGGAGCGTGGCGTCACGGACAYAGCTGGGACACCAGGACTGATCCAAAGCAGGATGAAACGAGGGGAAAAAGAAAACTCCCCTTTGCCTCCCAACTGAAACACAAGAAGTTTCCAGTAAAACCTCCCATGCTCAGTCTCTTCTTCCCCAATCCCTGTTACACAAGGGCCTGAAGACAYCTCCCAACCTTCATCTCCTTTCTTGTCCCAGCCACCTATGATACCTCCCCTTCTTCACTCAGTCTGAGTGAATCAGAAACTACAGTTTCTGGGGACTGTAAAGCATTTGGTTTTGGGGGCTGTTCAGCTTAGGCATGGATTTGTGCCAGAGTCTCCAGCATTTCCCAGCTCCTGTTGGAACACAGCAAGGGAATGTCCTTGAGAGGAAGACTCTTCTAAGGAGACATCCACCCTGCTCTCCAAATCACCGTGTTATGGCCAAATTACCTCTCACACTAATCGATTCATGGGCACAAACACACTGAAGTGGCCAGAAYTGGTCCAATCTCCTGCAATGGACCATGGCATAACCTGCTACATTTTGCTCTTCTGACTTACTAAGGACACTTTTTTCCCCCCTGCTCCCAGGAGATGCTTCTTTTATGGTGCTTAAATTAAGTTTTCAAGGTTAATTGTCCAATTTGATGTCTTTGGTTCAATAAATAATTCAGAGACAGTTTATGTCCTCCCATGTAAAGATGCCTACTGAGGTTACAGTAGCAGCCAGGCATTTCCTCTGATGTGCTATTAGCTAGAGTGCTGAAGGTTTTTCCACCTCRTTTTGGAAGCATTTATACTCTTCAAGAGGACATTTGAACGGTGCTGAAATTCACTGGAAGGGGCTGCAATGAAGACAGCCAAAGCCACCAAGCTCCTGCTGAAGTCACTGCCAATGTCTGTTGTCCGGTGATTTTCCTGCTGTTAGCTACCAGCAGCAATAGCACAGCAATAATTTTAGGTCTTAAYAACCACAGTTCAGCCGTCTGGATCCAGGAGCCTTGTACAATCTCTTTGGGGAGTTTTTTCCTGGAGCAGCTAAGATGAACAGTCCTTTTCAGAGAACCTTTGCACTGTTACAGAAACTGATACTTTATTAGAAATTTCACATAGCAAACATATGGTAGAATACGTATGAAGTTGCATTTCTTAGTCACATTTTGTCTCATGCTTGCAAAGAATCCACAAGACTGATTTTCCTAGACCATGTATGATGGGATAAGACTGCTGGGTCTTCCAGGTGCCAATGCAAGAGAAAAACTAAGCCATAAACCTTCCTGCAGTGCCTTAGTGCGAGTTATAGCTCAGCTGACACGAGCTGGAGAGACCCTCCAAGGCCCGGGAGCTGGGAACAGAGTGACATATCTTAGCTCATCCATGTCAGGAGAATTTTGGAGGATCTGTGGACCAAACTACCAGTAAATAAAGCAGAAGACTCGCACTGCTTACCAAATCTCCCTGTTAAACAACCTCCAGGCTGAATTAAGAGCACTAGTAGTTTCTACAAATCCACAAGTCCAGTATCCATAGCTGCTATATAATATCGATGACATTGCTTGAGCGTCAACGCAACCACGCTTGCGCCCGGGTCTGTAGGTCCTGGCACATCGAGACACCGGCTATGGCTGGGATCATTCCCGATGCTGACGCTGCAATGCAGCGCTCCCAGCACAGAGACATTGATTCAGTGCTATGGCTTCTGTCCTTTAAATAAAGGTCGTCTTGCAGGGCTGGCTCTGCTCGGGACGACTCCGTTAGGAACCGAAGGAAGAGCTGTCAACATCCCCATTGGGGTGGGAACCCTTGGTGCCACYTGCTTCTTGTGGAAGATGGGCACATTGGCTTGTTCAAAGTTCTCTTCTGTGCCAAGATACCCTACAGGGGAGATTTCAGGCTTACAGGACACTGAGCCAACAGCCTGAAATTTGCCCACAAGGGAAAACTCTAGCCATGAACATTCTCACTTAAAATTACAGCTTTTGGAAATCCAGCTCTTACCTTGGGCAACGCTCTGAGGCCAACAGATTCTGGGATTTGCAACCAGCAACGTAGTCAGGAGGCATCTGATCGGAGTAATAAAAGAGGAAAAAAAATAATCAAGGCAATATTGTAAGAGAGGATAGTTGTTAAACCTAATTTCAATTGGGTGTGTGCATAACCTCTGACTTCGGTGCAYCTAAGCACTGCAAACACAGCCAGTGCAGTGTAATTTCTGCATCGTCTCACATTACTCACAAGGTGCATTAGATGGACACTGAAGAATGAATTATTCTTTTCAGCAAAACATTTTTGTGGAGTAAGTAAATTTATCTTGCGGGGAGAGTAAAAGGAAGAAATATGGCATTAAAATGTGCAGATCTGAGTTGAACACATCTCTCTTTTACAGGGAAACCATGATTTAAGTGCACTCTATTACTAATGTTTAATAAAAGCAATAATTCAGAGTGTCAGGCCGAGGCTGTGTGCACTGAAACTGTGATCTGGGGAAAAATGACAYGGACATTTTTCAGTACAGTAGCTCTTCTTTAAGCCATTTGTCTGCAGGCCTAAATTAGCTTTGAAACGTACTTTATCTCTGATAAAAAGGCATTGATACAGYGATTATGCTTTATCAATTAATTTTAGCTGGAGTGCTCGAGAGGACACAAGTTTATGGGAATCCTTTGCTGACCTCCTCCCTCGGGACAGCCCAGGCAGGCAGCAGAGCCTGTTACAGACCCTTGTCCCTTTTCTTGGGCTTATTCACAGTTTTCCTCAAGCTTTGACCGACCTTGGGAAGGTTTATGGATGGACCAAATCCCAGCCCATCCAAGGATGCTTCTCCCCAAGCACTGGAGCCACATCTCACGAGTCACATTTCTGACCTCTTCCTGGGAGAGGTGGAGAAGTCCTAGACAATATATGATGTTGCCAGCGAGTTATATACTGCTCCGCCAACGTGGATTTGGAAGGGAATGCAGGATTGACGGATGGATTGAGAAGCAAAGGAGCTATTTCGGGTCTCTTGGCTTGACATTTTGCAGAGCTGAGCTTGCCGACAGGCCTGAGCAGAGCTGACTGCTGCCCAGGCTCTGCTTGCTACAACACAAGGATTGCCCTGAACTTTCCTGCAAAATCATCTTTAAGACACCTCTCAGATTTGGGGTTTTCCTGGAACAATGCAAACAGCAGGACACCCTAAACCCTGCACCTCCATCTGCTGCACCTGGGCTTTTCTGGGCACTTCACACATCTGGGTCCCTCCTGTAGACCCATTTGGGAAGTCTCTAAAGCCTATGCATCCTTATTTAAGGCTATCCGTCCTTCAAGAATCATTGGGCAGGTCTAACATTGCAGTCTGCAAATGCAGCTGCTGCAATGCTTATGCTCAAGCCCTGAGGTTTTCACGAACTTACTGCCACTACAAGTGACCTGGATTTTGATTTTCTTTCTCCTCCTCTACAGAACCTCAAGGAAAACAGAATTTCTAGAGAAAAAAGCACACAAACACACACACAAAAAAAAAAAAAAAAAAAAAAAAAAAAAAAAAAAAAAAAAAAAAAAAAAAAAAAAAAAAAAAAAAAAAAAAAAAAAAAAAAAAAAAAAAACCAGCAGCTTGTCCAGTCTCTGCTGCATACCTGCACACATGCAGTTTTAATGAGCATTAACATGCTCAGCTCTTAGCTCTTGATGCTTTGCTGGATGCCAGCGTGACCAGGCTGGGTCAGGTTTAATGCGCACTCTCAGCATGGCACATCCCAGGGCACMCCTCCAACAAAGGCGAGAGGGAGGCCCATGCTTGAGGCAAGGAATAAGTGGTGCAGAACTCCTAGATTCATTTTGCAGCTTGTTTGAGGGCAGAAAGCCATGCTGGGAGTAAAGCGCTCCCCCTGCCACATTCCTTTAGGTATTTTCCCCCTTTTCTTGGCCATGTGGTGCTGCTGGTCCAGTTTGCAAGTGCAAGTTTCTCAAATACCTGCTCAGACTGCCCAAGAGCCTCCAGCATTGCAGAAGCTGCCCAACTGCCACCACTTTGCCCTCCACAGTGTTATAAACCAATGCCAGGCTTACCATATAGCAGGATCCTCCCAATTTCCATACAGCCAGAGCTCCTTAAAGCTACACACTGCAGGGCAGCAACACCCCTAATCAGAGCAAAAACCCAACTGAGGAGTCGAACCACTAAACACCACTTTCATTTGCAAAATGACCCACAGCTGGGACAGTTATTAGCCCAAACCACAGCCCTCCAGGTGAACCAAGCCTAGGAGCTCAGGACAAGTCTGGTCCTTGCTCCCGTGTTTGGGAAGTGCTGCCTGGTTTCCTTCCAGGCATCATGCCACCCCTCAATTAAACTCTCCTTAAACTTTAAAGGGACACTTAAATGTGCGTTTATGACCCCATTACCTCCTCTTTATAACCCGAGGTGAAGACTGGATACCCATCCGAGATGTCTTAAAGGTTATGTGTACAATTAGCTCTCTTCCATCRAGTTCTTCAGCATTTCGCCTCCTAAGGCAAAGCAAACCTATGCACATCAGCCAAACGGTGCAAACCAGGGCAGAYGGCACCATCCAATAGCCCTTCACCAAACCAAAGCCTAAGCAAACCCCAAATCCAGCCCAAATGGCCCTCACCAATATTATTCCAAAAAAAGCCTGGAGCTGCCAGGCCTGGCTGCCTCCTACTTGCTCTTCCCTCCACGATTGCAGTTTGCATCCAAGCTCCCCTCCCCAGCTCACTAAACTGGGTGTGATATTAAGGCAGAATCATTAATGACAGATGTGTAAACTTTTGCATGGAGGCATGCCAATATTTTGCATACTTGCACAGTGCTGCCATAAATATTAATGTGGTGCTAATATGGGAAGTTCCACCAGCTGTGTCCATTCTCCAGGGATCCTTCGACTATTTATATTCGTGGTAATGAGCAAGCTGTTATTATATAATCAGGCTGTTGGAGAAGCCTTTGGAATAAAAGTCTCGCTGTGAATTAGCCATCAGCTGAAGTGCATTTGAAACCAGGAGATGTTACGGATTTCACGAGTGAGGTTTCCATGTATTTGACAGGCAGGGTGGCAGGAAAGAAAGGGGAGAAAAGCAAAGGGTGCTGAAATCCAGCGCCTGAGTAATTAGCACTGATAGGGCCTTTGAGGTCCTTGTGCAGTTGCAAAGCTGGCTTCTTATTTAGCCTTCCCCTGCAGCCCCGGGGCTGTGAAAGGATCTGATATTAATGTTTAGCAATAAAAACATGTCTTCTGCCCATGCTGGTGTGGAAGTGAGAGTGGATGCTTCATGGGGATGGTAGATCCCYGCTCCAGGCAAGGGCGAGGGATGCTTGATGTGACCCAGGACTGGCTGCATGCTAAGGGAATAAGTGGAACTCTCCTGCAAGCAAACACGGAGCAAGCAAACACCAAAGGTCTCTGCTTACGGCCCAGCAGAGAAASTTTTTGCAGAAAAAAATATTAAGATCATCACAAAGGAGGCAAAAATTACGAAGGGTAGTTATTTGTGAGCACAACACACCCATTTCACAGCCACAAGCCAAGAAGAACTTCCTCTTGCTTCGCTGTCACCATGCACAACCTGCTTTAATCAGAGCAGGAGMGATGCAGTTTCATCTGGTTGGAGAATCAGCCCTCTCTGCTGGTGTTAAATCTGGGGTTTTGTTGATTTTATTACTGTTTTGGACTTCCATGACACAAATGACTGATAACCCAAAGCTGTGCTGCATTCGTGAATGTATCACTCTCCTATTGTCTTTTTTTTTGTGTGTCATATCTGTGCTTTTTTAGAAGAGTGTCTTCCTCTTTAAAAAAGAAAAAAAAATGCCAGAGCAGTTTGGAAGTGATTTAAATCCCCCTCCCTCCTTTTTTTTTTTTTGGTGGGGAAACAATGAATATTTAATTGAGTTGAAGGTGGATAAATGATCATTTTCTTCCTATATAGTGGTGAGCAGTAAATTACTTTACCGGTAAACTCGGTTATAATTGCAAAATTGATAACAGAGGTGTGAAAATTTACACCTGTGWTAATAAAATCTACCTTCCTCCCGCACATGGACATTATATCTTATGAGTTATCTCTTGCCCATGAGCTAGATATTTCAGATGCGCCGGCAATCAGAGACTTCAGCTTGCCATGTGAGGAGAAACCTATTTTTTTTTTTTTTATTTTCTATGGATAAATGTGTGTATTTATTAAGAATATCTGTTCCAGATGCAGCTGCACATCAGTGCTCCCTGGGTGGGTGTTTGAGTGCCTGCAAACCGCTCTGGAGAAGGTGCTGCAATGCAGGGCTCAGAGGCAGCAAGGGGAGGATGGAGCGTCGTGACCTTGGGCAGACCTGGATTAAAAATCGCTGCTCGCTTACATGGGCCTTGGTGCTGGTCCTTGGGATGCTGCAGAGCCAGAGGAACTTCCCTGCTGCCGCTCTCCTCTCCAGCCATGCAGCTTTGCATCCCTGCATCCTTGCATCCCGGCAGTTTTGCATCCCTGCATCTTTGCAACTTTGCAGCCTCACAGATTTGCAGTTTTGCAGCTTTGCAAATGTGAGTGAAAAGAATACCGTGCAGAAGGGTTACGTGCAGGGTTACCTGGTGGGGGAATCCAACCCCATCCACGAGGAGCCAGGTGCTGACTCCAAACCCATCCACCCTTTCAGAAGATTCCTTCAAGGTCAAGGCTTCTTACTCATGTTTTGCTGGTTCTCCTGGAAGCCAAAACCAGCCCCACAGAGCCGGGTGTCACATATTGTCATTAAGACACATATTGGAGCCTTCAGCTTACGTCCCAGTCCAATCCATGACCCTCTACCCGCTGCAGTGCAAGGAGATGCAGCTGATGCCATCAGTTTGTACTGACAGAGATGATCTGTTCTAAAAGTTCGGTCTGGTTAACAGCRCTGTATTCACCATTTCTGTTCCAGAGGTGCCAAAACCATAAAAAGCATAAATTATCGATTTCTCCTCATTTTAGTATGTCATTGCAGGCTTTTATATGGAGATATATATTTTACTGTGCACTCTATTTCTTAAGACATCAGGACTTTTTATCTCAGCTAATTCAAGATAATTGCATGGAAGTTTCTGTGCTTCCTCCAAGACTGCAATTGGCTGGATTTGGGTGGGAACATTGTTAATAAGAATGTATTTTGCTGCACCTGGGACCATATTATTATTGTTATTATTATTTATTTATTTATTGTGAAGAAGGGAATTGTTTCCCTTCTTTTTTTTCCCCCTCCTTCAGGTATTTTTTCCTCGAGCTCTTCTCAGCGGCGTCTCCGGCCTCCCTCCTCCTCCGTGCGCGCGGGACAAGATGCGAGCGCCATCGATTCACCTCCGGGAATACTTTGGAGAGATCAAAAAGTGCTCGTGTGCAAGCTGCTTCCTGTGGGAGGAGCGCGGCAGCCGAATCAATCCAGGAATGCATTGTAAAATCAATGCGCTGTATAATTAGGGCACTCCAAGGGTAAAAAAGAAAAAAAAAAAAAGGAAGGAAAGGAAAGGAAAGCTCCTTGTTGCATGCCCGGAGAGTGCAGCAGCCTCTGAGCAAGGAGGTTTGAAGCAGGTGTTGGGGTGCAGGGTGGATTTTGGGGGATGCCAAACCCCTGTAGCTCGGCGCTTGCTGCAAACCGCCAGGCAATGTTGCCTATAGCTCATGCAGATGGAGAGGGGTGCAAGTGCTTTTCTTTCCTGCGGTGCTAAATTAGGGCTTTGGAAAACCAAACTCGTCAGGGGCTTGTCCAGTGTCCCCTGCTTGCTGCATTGCTGCTGTACAGTTAGGCTTGGCAGCCGTCAGTTTGGCAAGCCAGGCTTTAAAAAGGACAGAACAAGCCAAATTTCATCTTCATTTTTAATCATCTCATTGTGAAAAGATGCCCCAGATTGAGTACGACCCTCAGGGTCCTCCCTGGGAATTATAATCCCAAGCAAGCAGCCCCCAAATAAACAAATACTCTGTCTCCAAGGGCCAATGTGCCGGCTCACTTTCCTCCAATGGATCCTTAGGGATTTTATGGATTGTCAGCCCAGAGAACTGCTCCGGGCTGCAGGGCAAAGGAAACTACTCCGTATTAAAATACATGGCTCTTGTGGGATATGGCACTTTCGCCAGGCTGCCCAGGAGTTTGGCAAGAGCCCTGAAGTTTAGGAAGACGGATAATGCTGCAAATCGGAAAAGGCAGATTTTCATCAATAGAAAATTACCGATCCCCGGTGGAAACTCCTATCATTATCTATCAAGAGACAAATTGGAGCGAATTCCTCTTCACTGGCTTATGGTGTCTGGATCTGTGAGGTGGGAATGATCTCTGCCTTCCCCTGGGCAGCGCTTCATTGGGTGTTTTAATTGGTTGTAAGAAGAACTATTGCATTGCGGTAAAGCTGCTTATGCCCCTAATTCAAAGAAAAGTCTTTTTTTCTTTTTCTTTTCTTTGCTTTTTCTTTCTTTCTTTTTTTTTTTTCTTTTTCTTTTTTTTTTTTCTGGAGGATTTAGGGGACTGGGGGGCCCTAACTGGGGACATAAGTGAGAAAGCCAAGGAGGGGAAGAAGCGCAGAGGAGTATCTTGATGCTCTGCTATGAATCCAGGGCTAACGCAAAATCTAACCTTTATTTAACCAAACAGCAGAAATGCTGGTGACAAGGTTTAATTTTTGATATCAGACTGGAGAAACACTCTCCGACAGAGCTGCAGGACGGGTTTGTTGCATCCGCTTTCACATTTCGGAAAATGCCCTGATCTACCCCAAAGCAGCCCTCTGGGAATGTGGATGCCAAACGCATCTTTTCCTTGCAGATACACCCTGCAATCTGGGATATGCAATAGCAAGGACAAGTGCTGAACTGGCACTTGGGCTGCGTGCAGGAGGCGCTTATTAATGCAATTAATAAAACACACGCTCATGCTGGGCTGCGCTCCGAGGATGCTCCCGGAGCCCCCGGCGTGTGCTCCAGGAGAGGGCACTCGTGGGAAGGTGTTCCTGGATCCCGCTCCCGCAGGGGTGCTCTGTGTCCTGCGATGCCTGCCTCCTTTGCAGCTGCTCTAGAAATAAAGAAACGAACACAGAGATTTGCAGAAAAGTGCCCTCAGAAATGCAGAAGTGGCCCTCAGGCCACTTGAGCATTGTGCGTAAGGGAAGCATGCAGCG